ACCACACCACAACACACCACACCATGCCACAGCACACATAAAGTCCATACTATATCACATTTCATCCCACCACACCGCCTTATAACACGACACATTGATCAAACCATACTTCACCACACCACAACACACCACACCACACCACACCACACCACACCACACCACACATAACGTCCATACTACATCACATCACATCACATCCCACACCACACCACACCACACATAAAGTCCATACTACATGACATTACATCACATCACACATAACATTACATTAGCTGCAACTTGCAATTCCGTGAAACTTAAAAGTTTACTTTGGACCACAAAAGAGTCAATAATATTTTCTTATTATTGATAACTTTTATAAGGATTTATAGTTTAATACTTTACTTTTTTTCGTTGTTTAAAGACTTGTTTTCTGGAGCAGTCTCTCTGTCAAGACAAGCATGCCTCGTTCATCAACAGGTAGTTTCAGAAGATTTAGGATGGAGTCGGTTGATTTTAAGATTATTATTATTATTATTATTATTGTTATTATTATTTTGTATTGTTTATCTTTATTGTACAGACATTATTTTGAGATGTTTGGTTGTTTATCGTTATTGCGCAGTCATTATTTAAAGTGTGTTTATTAATCTTTATTGTACAGTCATTATTTTAAGTACGTGGTTGTTTATCGTTATTGCGCAGTCATTATTTCAAGTGTGTGGTAGTTTATCTTGTGTGCGCAGTCATTATTTTAAGTGTGTGGTAGTTTATCTTGAGTGCGCAGCCATCATTTTAAGTGCGTGCAGTTTATCTTGTGTGCACAGTCATTATTTTAAGTGTGTGCAGTTTATCTTGTGTGCACAGTCATTATTTTAAGTGTATGCAGTTTATCTTGTGTGCGCAGTCATTATTTTAAGTGTTGCAGTTTATCTTGTGTGCGCAATTATTATTTTAAGTGCGTAGAGTTTATCTTGTGTGCGCAGTCATTATTTAAAGTGTTGCAGTTTATCTTGTGTGCGCAGTCATTATTTTAAGTGCGTGCAGTATATCTTATGTGCGCAGTCATTATTTTAAGTGTGTGCAGTTTATCTTGTGTGCGCAGTCATTATTTTAAGCGCGTGGGGTCTATCTTGTGTGCGCTTTTACAGTTCAGACATTTTTAAAAGAAAAGTTATGACTTGTTTGGACAGTTTAGATATTTTTTAGTCTCCTCGCAGCCACTACCAAGGAGTGAGCGTTGCGTGACGACACTAATAGCGGCTGTGAAGGAGTCTATATTGTAAGAATATATACTATAAGAATCTTTAATTTTTCATAGCTCGAACCTGCGCTTTCTTTTCAATCAGGTTTTGTGCGTAAAAAATTTCATGATCAAGAAATAGGGGTTGACAAACAAACTGACCGACGCTTTCTTAGGTACACTGTCACGGTACAAAGACTAACCAAAGAATACTATAAACCACATGATCTACAGGAGGGTAATGATTACCGTGTTGTCTGTTTTAACTTGCTCTTCCTCTGACGCTTTTTCCTTGTTCTCCGGAACAGATTTCTAATAAAGAAATAAACTCAAAGTTAGACGATTTTATAATTTACCCTGCCTTATGTTAGGGGACGAGCCCAGAAGCTCGGGTATCTTATTCAGTCTTTTTTTAATGGCCGTTGATACGTTTAAACAATAGTTATGATACCATCCTACAAAGAAACACATATTTAGTCTTGGAACTTTTAACCCCCAAAAACCTTATTTCCAATCCTTACCGACAAGCTTTCCCACCAGTTTTCTTTTCTTTTCTTCTTCTTCTTCTTCTTTCTCTTTATCTCGCTCTGAAGGCAGATCAAAATATAATACAATTACGACTTACCGTATATGTTAATATGCACATTAAGAATCACTAATAAATTCCATAGACCGTTTTCTCAAGGTTGCGTGCGCATCCAATTTAAGGAGCTTGACGGGCCACGATACCAGAACAAGAGTATTATCATGTATTGCTATGAAATATTTTTCGATAAGAATTCATAAAAATTGATTATTCTCCTCCTTGAATATGAAACTATCTTCTCAATTTTACTGAATTTGCGTTTTTCAGTTTTGTGGCCCGTCAAGTTGGATGCGCACGCAACCTTGAGAAAACGGTCTGTTGGAATCTAGTAGTAGAAGAGCCACTCTGTGGAATCCACTGTTAATCCCATGATTTATTACATTTATTATTTATTATCTCTAATAGGAACACCTCAAGCTAATATTTTTTGGCCTCCGTTCAATGTTATCTGATTCGCGCGCCTGGATATCTTTTCGTACATCTTGAAACATGGATCCTCTGATCCATTACCGAGACTAACATACTTTATTCACATGTGGAGTCCGCAGAAATGGAACCACAGGTAGCCCAAGCTCGGCATCAGCGTTAAAGATCCTAAAAAGTCGTGAAACTCGCTCCAATCATTACAAGGGACTAGTACTAGACGCAGCTAGTAAGTTACAATTGAAGTTTCTTCAATATTTACGCTGAAAATCGGCAATATACGAAATCTCGATACATCTTTTCTGCACTAATGCAAAGCTTGGGCTACCTGTGATGGAACCCGCAACCCAACCCGTAGGACTGAACAGTGGTAAAAGTCAGGTGAACGTTTTATCGATATGCTAACCACATATCCACTAATGTGTTATATTTTTGCATACTCACATTCGAATCCTTCTTGAACGATTCATCTTCTCCTGGTTCGCTGTCGGAATCACTAGAACTAAAACAGTAAAATATCTTCAATCTCGTAGAGTAAACCGGGTAACACGCATTACTATTTGAAGGCTGCAGTACAAGATATGATATAAATGGCGACTCAGGGTGTAGTGATTTTGGATTCTCTGTAATACAAGGTACCTTTACTTTCTTTTTTTTTTTCGCAAAACAATAGACAATAGTCCCCTTCACAGTTCCCTGCGCCATCTTGAAAGGTAGCCATGCCTTTGCATCGAAGCGAGACGAACGGTGAGCTTGCAATGATAGAGACCTTCTTTAACACATTGGACAATTATTCTCGTCTCTATCATTGCATGCTCACCGTTCGTCTCGCTTCGATGCAAAGGCACGGCTACCTTTCAAGATGGCGCAGGGAACTGGGGACTATTTTATCAAAACCTGAAACAACCTCTGGGCTGATCTAAGGCACGGCTAACTCACATATTGGATTGGAATTCAGCTTGTTAGGTTTTGTGGGGAGGAAAACCGAAGAACACGGAGGAAAAGACCTTGAGTCAAGGGAGAGACCTAACAAACTCTACTCAAACGTGCATGATGTCGAGTACAGGATCAAAGCTGACCCCAGAGGTGAGAGCACAACTCCACCCCTAGATTCCTCACTTAAAAATTCTTTACAAAAAAGTTTATAAACTTACTCAGATTCATCGTAACACTCGTTCAAATCAAGTCCTTCCAAAATCTTGATACAGTCATTAAACGAATCGACATGTATGCTCTTGACAGAGACTTCATAATCATGATTTCTGCTCGACGGGTTCCCTATAGTTCGTGCTTGCTTAACATCAACATCAATGTAGTTAACATCCTTCAGTCGAGGAGCGAGTCGAATACCACGTTGAGTGCTTTGCCCGGCGTTGATCGGTTGTTCTTTTTCGTTTGGTTCTGTCGTAGCAGATGTTTTGGCATTGGAATCATTGTCTGTAATTCGCTTGAAGTTTCCCATCGAGTGTCGTAGGATATCGCGAGTCATTTTACAGGCGAGTTCTACAAACGACTGCGTCATTTCGTTCCTGAAATGAATTGCAAGGACATTTCTACTTTATTACTAAATATGACATTACTTTCCCTCTTCTTCATACAGCATAGTTTTGCAAATAACTGGAAATACCATTTCGTTCCCATAAAGAATTTTGAAATTTGATTCATAACTCTGATTGCTTGTCTCTCTCTCTCTCTCATTTTTGCCTTGTTGTTTAAACATTCCATTATTACGTCACAGAAGCAAATCGATTATGACGTAAGAAAACGTAATAAAGCCCTCTCAAGCGCGCGCAAAAAAACAAATCTTATCGTTTCTCAATTTTTAATTTTACCACTAATTCTTCGACCTTAGATTATCTAAAAATTAGACGTAATTAATGTTTATGCTCTAACTAACTTAGCCAGAAGTAGTTGACACCTACGTCACTCGCAAACAATTGTCATGATTATATTCATGTCATCAACTGGCAAAGAAAATGGTAAAGATTTCATTATTAGCAGTAGGAATTTGACTATTTTGTTGCCTTTGCTAACGTTAACGTTGTTAACGTTGTTGTTATTGCTGCGGCTGATGTTGTTGTAATATACCTCTTTAACTTCGTTGTTTGTTGTTCACATTTCAGACCATGTGATGCCACTCTTGGGAGTCGATTTTTTCATATGTAAATATTTAAACATGTTCGTCATAAAAGAACAATTCTCAAGGGAATGTCATGTGATCTGAATTGGCAATATGCATACGAAGCTAAAGAGGTCTATTGCTAGTTGCAGTTGTTGCTACTGTTGTTGTTGTTGCTGTTGTTGTTGTGGTTGTTGCTACTGTTGTTGTTGTTGCTGTTGTGGTGGTGGTGATGATGGTTGTTATTTTGTTATTTTTGCGTCTTCTCACCTGTTAGCACTTTTAGCTTCAGAGTATTCCATCAGCACCTCACAGAAATGACGACCCATATCTTGGAAGTCACGTGTATTGAAATGACGCCCCCTCTCCCTGCGACAGAAAGAGCGAAAAGTTCAAAGTAAAGTCTCTCTCATTGTTAGAGTGGTTTTCGACCAATCACAACGTACGCGTAGTTATGGTAACTGTAAGAAATGCCACGGCTATAACACGACTACATCCAACGATTATTCAAATTGGTCGCCAAATTTCGATTCGGTATATGGGAATGGGAGTGAATGGATGGGAATGAATCGCAAATGAAAATCGAACCGCGTTTGGGCCACAAAAGGCTAGGTGTTACTCTACAGTTACTAGTCAGTCAAGACAAACTAACTCACATGTCTCCGAAATTAGCTCCACAGAATGTAGCCTCCATAGTAAAGCTGTTGGCGATTCCCAGTTGACGCCACATGACCACACGAGCTGTGGATTCTTTACACTTGCGAACGATGAACTTACATCCTTGGAATGAGAATTTATCGGGAGCCTAGAAGAGTCACATAAAACAAGTGTGTGAGGTCACTGGGGATCAAACTATTGACCTCTTGCTTAGCAGGCAGCACACTAACCAACCAAGCCACACTTGCTCCTTAAAACGAGTGTGTGAGGTCACAGAGCATCAAACTATGGTCCTCTTCAAGGGCGGATCCAGGGTTTTTTTGAAGGGGGGTCTCAGGGGTAAATTTTGTGGGCAAAGGAATCCCAGTCGCATTTTTACCACAAGAAGCCCATTTGACCTCAGGAATGACAGGGGGGTCGTGACCCCCCCCGACCTTCCCCCTGGATCCGCCCTTGCTCTTGCTTAACAGGCAGCACACAAACCAACCAAGCCACACTTGCTCCTTAAAACAAGTGTCTGAGGTCACTGAGGATCAAACTATGAACCTCTTGCTTAGCAGGCAGTACACTAACCAATCAAGCCACCCTTGCTCCTTAAAACGAGTGTGTGAGGTCACTGAGGATCAAACTGTGGTCCTCTTGATTAGCAGGCAGCACACTAAACAATCAAGCCACCCAGTCTCTTTCTGTGGTTTTATTAGCACGCAAATCAGGGGCAGGGGATGGGGGTACAGAAAATTGATTGGACTCATGATCTAATTGAATCCATGTACTCACTCGTTGAGACATCATCCAAGGAAAGAGGCGTTCTTCCAGGAAGTTAGTGACTGATCCCACCTTGGGATCTTCAGTACAGCCGTACATAAACACATTGGGCTTACGGCTATGTCCATGAAGGTCACAGTAGATACTGACCTACGAATGAAAAGTGAAAATGATATCAAAAAATGGGAAAAAGAAATGGGAAAGGAAGAGGGATTAGGAAAACGAGTGAGTAAACTGACTTGGAAAAAAGAACAGCGCAAAGAAATAAGAAAGAGCTGCAGATTCACTAGAAAAAGGAACGGAAAAATGACTTGAAAAATAGGAAAGTGGGTGAGAAAGAAATTGAAAAGTGTTTAGAAGTGGGAAAAAAGTAGAAGAAAAATGAAAAATGAATAGAATGCGCTGCTACAGGGCTGTCTCTCACCACTGTGTAGTTAATGCCCGGGGTCGCGGGCTCGATTATCGACTGAACTACACATTTGAGTTGAGTTTGTTTGATGTATTGTTTGTTCTCTCCCTTGCCACGAGTGTTCCCCGGATTTCCACACACCGTGAAAATCAAAATGTGAAATAGTAAATGTAGCTGTAGAACGTGTGAAGCAAACCTCACGAAAGAGCCCCGTATGTGGAGTAAGGGTGGAACATAAGGGAAATAATAACAAATGAAGAGAAAAAATTATAGCACTAACCAGGTGATCTCGGTGAACGCGCGCAAAGGATTGTTGTAGTTGATCAGGCGGTCCTAGTATCAGTTGTTTATCGGCGAACAAAGAGCTATTATTTCACGGTAATTTCATAAAAAAATTGAAACCGCAACCACCATTTGACCCATAGGTATTCGTTATGAGAATAGGTAGAATTTTAAATGTATTGCTAGTCTATGAAGTAGCTAGGGAAGCAAAGATTCAGAGTAATTTTTTTCTGACTTCGGTTGCCATGTTTTTTCTCGATGGACCGCCTGATCAGATTTCGTCCTGCGCGATGATTGGCTGGATTTTGATGGGCTGTCAAAACGAGATCACCTGGAAAATGTTCTTCCCTACTGTCTAGAAAACCCCGTTAAAATAGAGTGGGAGAACGGTGATGAAATTTCCCGATATATTTTTATTGCTGTCGATCCGCGCGCACGCTCAATCACTACGTCACAATTAAAGTAATTATTAGACAGGAAGCCCAATATTTACAACACCTACCTCGTGGATTTCCCTGAAAGATTCGAGCATCTTCTTGGTGTGCCATACGGTAGGGAAATTATCCTGACGTCAGGAAAATAATTCAATTAATCTCTATAAATAAATATACAATACGACGTGTACTACCCTTTTTACTTGGAAATCAAGGGTGCTGTAGAGGTATTGCTCTCACCTCTGGAGTCGATCTCAGGCTCGATTTCTAGACCTGCACTTGTAATCCCCGGGGGGGATTACACTCGTGTTAAATTTTTAAAAATACCGGAAGTCTTTTAAAAAGAGGATGTTGGACGATTTTTAACCCCTAAGAAATATACTAAAAGACACCAAGGAATGCTGAAATTCTAAAGTTCAATTTCAACCCCCTAAAAATGTCCAGTTCGCTGATTTTTACCCCTAAGAGAAACGATGAGAATAGAGGCTGAGCACCATCACGTGATGGCAGCCATGACAGGAGGCAGGAACGTAACAATGGAATCTGGTATCGTCTGATTTACATGAGAAAGAATTCAGTTTCCCAGAGGAGAAAGACTCTACGGTATGCCTCCTGTCATGGCTGCCATCACGTGATGGTGCAAAGCCTCTATACCCGATACTCAGTTTACCCCGGAGTCCCCTACCCCCGGGTTTGGAATCACGTGTGAGTAGAGTTTTTTAAAAAATTTTTGCGGATTCTCAGGAATCGAACCTGATACTCGAACTGTAGAGCTTACAGTCGTGAAAGACGAACGCTTTACTGCTATGACACCTTGGCTTTGCCACACATAATTTTGATGCAATCTCGTAACCAGAGCCTGCGTTTCTTCTGGCCTACGGCGAAGAACGAGGGCTCTAGCATAATCCATTTTTTGGTGCATGCGCAGTTTTCCGGAAGTGAAATATAATCAATGAAAATCATGCTTGTAAACAGAGTTCTGTGTTTTTTCCGATCAAAATAAAAATTAGATATTGGGAACATATTTTTTATTTTTGGCAAGCCTTTTAACGCATCCGCTCCTATACCGGAAGTCCATTAAATCCTGGTCTCAAAAAATGGATTATGCCAGAGCTCTCGTTCTTCGCCGCAGACCTGAAGAAACGCAGGCTCTGGGTACGAGATTGATTTTGGTCCCGTAAATAAAAAAACAGGAGTTATACTCCATCCAATGCACCCTTATCAAAATTGTCTTGAATGCGAAGGCTTACATGGAAATACAAAAGTAATGTTACAAATTCCATCGAGAAAAAGTCTGATTTCTTTTGTATATTCCTAGGTTAGCCTTGCATCCAAGTTCTTTTTGAGGGACCATTTCTGGATGGTACTGATTTTCCATCCCTACCTTATCAGGTTCCTTATACGTCCTGTTGAGGTCTTTCGCCGCCAGGTTAGTCCGATAGTTACCTACGATGACCCCGTCAGGATTCAGCATTGGCACTATCTTGAAAACGAACCTCCTTCGAAGGTTCTGTACGTAAAAATATACAGTGAAAACATAAGCATTATCAGGAATCTCCGGCCTGATGGAAAGAATAAGATTCTTTATTTGAGTTGTGTGGTAGGCGATAACTCGGTTACTCGAGCACTCTTCGCAGATACCCAAATATTTGCATATAAAGTAGACGCTCTATGAGCGTGCACTCGGGCTTCCAAGTATTTGTTTCTAGATTTTGCGAGCCTTCGTTATTATAAAGTCAGTAGCAAAGCGTATGCGCGCTAGCAACCATTAGGCGAATTTTGATGGTTCAAAATAAAATAAGAATAAACAAAGGCCATTTTAAAACTCGGGTATTCCAAAGGAAGCCCGAGTAATCATGACGAGGAGTTGCTTCTCACCTCGGCGATTTTATCGCTACTAGTCAAGTAATCCAAGACACCTTTCATCATCCAACTCGCATTAGTCTCCCCGGGATGCACGCGGGCACTGATGACCACCCCCGATTTCTTGTGGTCTGGAACTAGAATCACTTCATTTTAGTAAAATACGCAGACTTTAATAAGAGCAAACTAGTGAACTATAGAACGTATTCATGGCATCCATGTTGTAGGGCATGTTTTCGCGTGATCATAACAAGAGATTTCATTTTCAAAGGAGAGGTATTGAGTGTGATGCTTTCTGTTTTCCCATTTCAGACAACGTGTCATTCCTGATGTATCATTTCTTTGCTTAGGGACGGACCATTAGATTTTTGAGGAGGGGGGTTGGGCAATTTATTCTGGACAGGAATTTATTTTTACGCCTCATGGCTGTTCAGAAATTTTTTTGGACATAGTTTGAAATTTTTTTCTGGCACTTTTTTTATGCAGGATTTTTTTTCACTCTATAAAGGTGTGCTCGAATTTTTTGTGGTTTTTGCCCACCCCTCCCCCCTCAAAAATCTAATAGTCCGTCCCTTATGGGTTACACATGAGAAGCTACATAAATATGCATATAAATGAATACAAAGAATCTTATTCTCAAAAAATGACACGTGGTCTGAAATAAGAAACATTTCGCCCAAGTCGATGAAGTCTTGGTTTGTCCCACAACACGTTGCCATCAAATCAGTATATTACAAATGCTGTATTCTGATTGGCTATAATGTACTACTCTAAATGAATCATACCCTGTGATGACGTAATGGTCAGTACGTAGCAGTTGTTTCCTGCCAAAGTCTTGCACAATACCTATAAACCATTAAGATATATTAGGCATATCTAGTTGAAAAAAAATTTTTCTTTATTTTATTTATCAAACTTTGCCCAAGTTAAACGTCCAAATATGAAAAATACAAAAAAAGCATCTAATTCTACAGTTTTGTTTTGCTTTTTTTTCTGCTGAAGGGGGCTTCAGCCCCCCTTTGCCCCCCCCCCCCTCGGATCCGCCCTCGTAAGGACACCCAGTATCGAACATTTTAACAGGTCTCTTAGGGGGAGGGGGGGGGGGCAGGTCTCTTAGGGGGAGGGGGGGCATCCACTAGTGCCCTTCACTTAATAAAACTGAGCCCATATTTTTGGCCACTGTTTTTGCCCCCAATATAAAGTACCTCCTTCCTGACGTGCTGTGAAGTAGCTGGACTATCCACCAAGGTTCTCAAATAGAATTCCAAGTCCGAATAGGAGTATGGGTAGCAGTGTGCAAGGTAACAAACATCCCCTGCACGTGGGAATTCCTGCAGAAAATCAATATCATTATCCTATATGCATCAGTCATTTTCATGCTAGGTAAATAAAAATGGGATAATTGCAACCGTGTTCAGGGGGATATTCCCTTTCTCGGTGAGAATGCATTAAAACATAGAAGGTATTTCAAGGGATCTTGTTATGAGTAAAAGTGGATTTTCATTTATTCTCTCTTTCATTTATAGTCATTATTGATTGCTGTTTCCCCTTTTCTTTCTTTTTTTTTCCGTTCAATCTTTCGTTTGTGGTTCGTTCTTTCGTTTGTTCCTCTCTTCTTTTCTTTTAATTTTTTGTACTTTTCTTTTTCCACCCCGTATCCCCTCCATTTTTCGTTTTCATGCCTCTCCTTTTTTTCCCTTTCTTTCTTTCTGGCTTTTTCCATTTACTTTCTATCCTTCCTTTTTACCTCTCCATTTTTCCCTTGCCATTCTCACCCACCCTTTCTCTCATTCCCTCCATCCTGCCTCTTCTTTAAATATTCAAAGGCCTGTATTCCTTACCACTTTGAAGCTCAATATATAGTAAGCCAATTCTTTTGCAAGGAGAGGATCTTTGTGTGAAGTATTTCTTGAATAGGTGATGCCATGCCCAGTTCTTTTCCATCCTACATTATTATCTCCCGCAAGCTTCTGAGAATATAGAAGTGGTTTCATTCCTGCAAAAATATTGATTTATTAAAATCTGATCCATATGTTTTCTTTGTGAAAAGGATTGCTTCATATCATCTAACCCTGACTCTTCTTCAAAAGAGGCCAGAACAAAAATACTAAGGTAGCAGTTATCAAAGTAGAGCACACAATGATATATTCCTTTTCTTTAGAAGAATGATATGAGTAAGGCTCTATGGGTCGAAAGATGCTTGTTGACTCATTTGCATCACATTCTTTCATCGAATTCTTTCTCATGTAAACCATATTAGACCAGATTCAATTGTTTCTGCCTCCTGTCATGGCTGTCAAAGCCTGTATATGATAAAACTCTTTACAATATTGGCTCAATACAGCTCAATATAACTCTACACAATATAACTCAATACAGCTCAATATAACTCTATACAATATAACTCAATATAACTCAGAACTCACCATAATTATATAAACTATCTCTTTTTAAAAGATTGACAATATTGAACTTGTAGGATACCCCAGGAACCATGTTCTCAACACGGAAATAATACCTGAAAAAAGAAAGGATAATATAAGCTATTATCATAGAAACATGAAACATATCAAAAGTCTAACTCACCCCTTGAATCATGGTTATTTAATGAATGGGGCTGGGTATGTGTGAGAAAATTGAGGGGGGGGGGTAAATTTAGTGACCATGAAAACGGGGGGGGGGGGATGAAATTTAGAACTTTTTTGGATTCATGAGGCAAAAACCCAGATGTCTTTGTAGAGAGGTGCCTTGCATGGGACTCTAGGTTCATTCATGCCCACCCTCTTGGTCCTTTGTCTTGCATTATTATTATTTTCTTTAGTATATTGTCAATTCTCTTTGTCGTTTAGAAATTTGAAGGCCAATAAAGCTGTTGAAAAAGCTTTTGAAAATGTATCTAAATAAATAAAAAAATCAAAATGTTTTGGTAGTGTGCTATCTGTAAGATGCAGTGATAATTGCCTTATAAATATAAGATACCTCAAGCACAAATTCTTACCATTGGGTATGCCTCTTGGTATAAAGATCAGTGGTCAATATCAAGTCATATTCACACCGTCCACTAATTGGCAAAATAACAGGATAAAATATATTACATGTCAACAACACATGTACATAAGTATTAAATATTACAGTGTACAATATTACAAGGTATGACCACATTTAATGTATTCACATACTTATGCACGGGCTTTTTGCTACTAAAAGACCCGGGGGGATGGGGGTACTCCCCTGTATTCACTATACGGGTACGTGCCGCCAAATAGGGTATGGTTTTCAGTGATTCTACTCTGGAACAGGGTATATAAAATCGCACTCGCTCTGGAACACAGTATATGAAATCACGCTCTCTCCTCTCTGGAACAGGGTTTTCAGCAATCTTGCTCTGGAACAGGGTATGAATTTCAGCGATTTTTACTCTGGAACAGGGTCAGGGTTCAGAGGGCTCAGCGGCACATCCCTACCCTAAACGGGCAAGAGTACCCCCCCGGGCTAAAAGAGCATTTGCACCCCTTATTTGGTAAAACCATCCAGCTTCTCAATGAAATATGTCAGTTTAACATTAAGAACCTGTTTTGTGCATTGTGCTGTAAATATATAACAAAAATAAAATAGTAGAAAAACTATTATGTGGTTTCCCACTTATTTTGAAAAAATCATTTCTCATTCATTTCCCATCAATTTCTTATTTATTTCCCATTTATTTATACTCACATTCTTTTTGCTTGTTGAAGGTTGCCACATTCAAACCGTGACTCAAATTTTAGGCTAGGGAAACAACCAGTGGGAGCTGTAGGGCAGAGCTGTTAAAACACAAGATAAATGGATTAATAATATCTTCTAAGCTGTTCACAATCTCATATATAGCTGATCAGGAGGGTATGGTTGGATTTTCCAAGGGGTGAGGAGGTTCTGCTGAGGGTATATTGTGTGGTTCCAGAAGATATCTATACATCTCCAATGAAGGGGACAGGAATTTCCATGACATTGTGGAAACTATGAAAGACGTTCTTAATAATTTATCCAATATTGTTTACACACTAAGTGTTATAGTTTTAACCCATTTAATTGATAATGTAAGAATTAATCCAGGGCATGGGCCTTGCGAGGGGGGGATGGGGGGTGAAGGGGGCCAATGGAGGCTCACGACCCCTCACCCTCACCCCCCCAAAAAGTAAAAACCTGTAGATGTTGCAGGAAACTCTAAAGATGAATTGCGCAGTTTTGTGTTTTGGTGGGAAAATGGTATATCCCCTGCCCCCTATGACTGAGACCTATCTACCTCTTATCACTAACTTCACAGCAGTGATTGGTTGGCTAGCCACCCCAGGGGCGCATTCAGAATTTTTAAAAAGTGGGTGACAGTTATAGGATAACTCACATCATTACCACAGGAGACCCATAAAATGGTGAAAAAAGGCATCTCTAATTGAAGGAAATAAAATTTTAAAGCTTCAAGTAAACTGAGTGAAATCTTGTCCAGATAAAATGTTTTTAGCGTATTAGGAAAGGTATGTTATTTATCAAGGGAAAGGACTTTGGGACTTCAGAGGCGAGGGTCATTTGAAATAGTTTGTCCCAAAGGGGGCAACCCCCCTCACCACCATTGGATCTGCTCCTCCACCCCTTAAGAATATAAGTAGAGGAAGCTAATACCGGCGGCTGCTTGCCGCCCTCTTTCGATCATCCTTTATCTGCTACTGGGAATATGCAAGCAGATTTTCAATCCACATATTTCTACTTTACCTTGGTATTAGATCTTTCATACACTGTCATTGTCCCTCTCCAAGGCTTTGGAAAAAGGCTGTTATCTTCCTCTCTAATTATGTTCTTTGCCGCTGGAAAATAACATTTACATTAGAATACCATCCTGGGAATCGGAAAACAGTCAAAAGATGCTAGAAATGATCTAGTTAGATCCTTTACCAAGGGAGCTTCTATTCATTGTACTTTGGAAATTTCTGCAATTATTTAATTTTAGTCCTAATTTTACTTATACTCTCAAAACAATTTTAAAATATTAGAAAAATTTCATTATTTGAAAATAAAGATTCATAATCGAAAAAATAAATATCCGTAAATTTTCATAGAGATCGAGTTAATTGCATTCCTACTCACAGAGTCAACATTTAATTTGTTTACGCATATTTAAAGAAAGATCCTAAAAAGACCATTGAAAAAACGAGCAAACACAAAGGTAAATATTATAAATTTGAAACAGTAAACAAATCTGTGGGAAATTTGAGCTTCTGAAGTAAAGAATGCAGTAATGTCGTAAATGTACACACGCGAAAATCTTGTCATTTCCGATTAAAGAGTTGAACTTTGGGCCCCCCAAATCGTTGAAGCGTTGAGTAATTTCACTACTACTTGCTTTTCTTGAAAGCCTCTTGACTAAATTATCTTTAAATGATCGGAAAGTGGACTGAAAATAGCTTAGAAGTTGACAAAACCTTCATTTTCTAAGATTCCCTATTTGCACTTGTAAATTCATCATAAACAACACCCATCGTTTTAAATTGACCTTTTATAGGCTTTATACACGGGCTTTATATCAAGAAAAATATTATTTTCTAAGATATCTCACCATAATGAAAACGATTTTTTTTCATAACAGAGCTCTTACCGGCAGAGTTTAGAGGTTCAGTAAAATCGGGTGCTTTTTCAATGTGTTTTTGGTTGGAATAAAGAGGTAGATGGTCTTTAGGCCAATAAGGACCTGCAATTTCGTGGCTTTTGCCTTGAGAATCAACCCATATTGATCCAGGAGCTTGTTTATAAGGCTTAGGTTTTACAGATTGTTCAGATGTCTTATTTCCGATACTTTCTAAAGCTGCCCTCGTGTAGGGACTAAAGTGTTTATTAAATTCATTAGACAAGGGGTCAAAATCCAGATCTTCTTCATCGTTTGTCCGTCTTCCATTCTGTATGCGTGAGTACGACTGTAGGCCATATTTTTTGGATATCGGATTTCTCTTCGTGTTAAAACTTTCTTCGTTGTCATCTATGGTTGAACTACGACTTCTGTTATTAGTATTAGTAGTTTTGTTTTGACTATTGCTTTGAATACGTTGTTCTTCCTCCAACTTTTGTTCCCGAAGTCTTTTTTTCTTGATGTTCGGTGGCGTCCCAAGAAACTCACGAACTTGACTCTGTAAATTTAACTCCACAGATTTCCTGATTGACTCAATCCAAGCTTGTCGTTCGTCCTCAGTAGTGAATAATTCCTTTGCTTTCTTCTCAGACATCTTAGTTATCTCTTCTCTAAGTTGCAGCGGAGTCTTGGACGTATTCCATGCAACACGCTCCTCTGCGAGAAGCCGTTCACTAACCTCACTGACATATTCACTAGCTTTTTTAATCTTGTCAAAAAAGATTAACTCTTCCACGGTTCTTTTACTCTCAGAGCTCATGCTCCGTCAATAACACAAATTAGACCGCCAGTGTTGTTTACCAAGAGATTACGAGTAAAGAGAAAAGTCTATGTAAAGAAGAACTTGGCATCTGCTCGTCGACTAGTAACACTCCTCCGTGTCTACTCAACAATGCATCGTTGCCATGGTATCGCCGACCGCGCGCACAATATATTCATTACATGTCACTAGCTTTTCTTTAGACTACTTGCCCAATTAAACAAATTCGTCAACTATTCATTGATTTACTGTACCAGATACAGTGAGGATACTAGAAACGTGAACACTTCCAGTTGTTTTCATCCAGGTTATTATTTCCTGAACTTTCTACTGTTCCAAAATTACAATGATTGAGTCATTCAGTTCCAATCGATTGGCTCAAGCGATGGCTACGGTAAACATCCTAAAAATAAAAAAATAAAAAAATAAAAAAATAAAAAAATAAAAAAAAAAAACAGAAAAAAGGGCTCGAGGTGTTCACGATTTTTTAAAAACTTTATGAGTGCAAAGAACAGAAGCAAAAAGTACACAAAGTACCAAGTATAAAACAGGCCGGAAAAACAAAACATAGACTTACTGCTTTGTTCAAATCTTAGATTTTGTCCCCAAATATCTCCAAAACTAAAAGCCAAACCACAGAAATGAATGGACTGTCTGTCTGCATGTATGCTAAAAAACATATTTGTGTATAGAAATTGCCACTACAGACCCCCAGCATCGAGAATTTGAACAACTCTCTGAGGGGGGAGGGGGTATGTCTGGTACCCACCACCTTAATTCATAAAATCGGGTCCCTATTTTGGACCATATTGTTTTGCCCTCGCCCCTAATGTGTTTAACAATGCGAAATACCTTAGTTAGATTGTATTTGTTCAATATCGTGGAAGCGTTTACGCAATTACGTTTTTTTTCCTTTTTCAACTTCCCCCCGACTTGCATTATATTCGTTAAGACTCTGACCATTTGAATTCTACTTTTATTCATTGAGTGCTGAACCGTCGTATGGCAGCGCGAAGCATTTACGGCTACGCCGGAGATTTCGGCCCCGACACCGCTATCCGGAGATTTACAGACTGATCAGGAAGCTCGGCCGAAGCCTAAGGGAGAGATTAGTCGGCCTCTAGACCGTAGATGATTAACCCCTTGCTATGACAGACGTACGCGGTATCAAGACTTGTTGTAGCATTTTAAACTTTGGCTTGAAACCCTACGACGTGCCGTAGGAAAATGACGTAAATATGACGATTTTGACAGATTGGGACTGGAACTAGTTGATTCCAAAACAAAATGGCGGATTTCCATGAAAACGTCTTTACCGGTAATTAAACACGAAGTGCAAAAATTCTGAATGATCTCATCAAATAACAAGGTAGACATGATTATTTACTGCACTTCTCAACTGTGTATGGTAGCATTTTACAAGAAACATTTGCTGTAATGACGAGTAAATTGATCGCGTTTTTTTCGTGCCGCGTGCGACAAGTTGTGCTCGTGTAAATGGTACCAAAATTTGCCGTATACGTCAAGTCGCGCGCGGCAAATCGTGCCGTGTAAATAGGCCTTTATTATCCTCTGAAGTTAAATAAAAATATTTTATGACAACAAAATTTTGATGTTTTGTTTGAACAAAAAGTTTCAGTGTTTTTTTTTGTATAGACGACCGACGCATGCGCTTTCAAGATGGACGTTGCCAGACGGCAATTCTATAAAGTATTGTGATGTCTGTCTTGCTAGCTTGCTTATTTGCTTAATTTTCTCGCCATGATTTTATGTAGAACGCCCAGCAGTACACTAGTAAAGCTGAATTATGCAGTTGACGCGCTAAACTCAGTGACAGGCTCCTTTCGTTCACAGAGACTTGCCGAAGGAACAGAACTGACTGAAATCATCGAAGTTCTTCTTCTTCTTCTTCTTCTTCTTCTTCTTTTTCTTCTTCTTCTTCTTTTTCTTCTTTTTTCTTTTCTTTTTTTCTGAGTCGTAGTTCGTTGGACGGTTTGCTTTTTTTGTCCAGGCTAGTAAACTACACTATGGCAAGGGTATAGTTCAGATGAACTTAAATCGATCCTTAACTAAGGACGTTCGTGGAAAATGCGTTAAGAATAAACGTTAATCATGCTTTTAAAACTTTGCCAGTTGGATAAACTGAAACAACAAATTAAACGCACAAAAAATGCCTACAAAATATGGGGTCACCGTGCAATGCAAGGTAAAATGACCTGTCGTGAGCTACCTAACGTGCAAGTGGTGAAAACGTAACTGAACTGAACAATTTTCGGCAAAAAAATTATATCAAATAATAGGGAAAAGGCATGAAAATGTATTTGTAGCTAATAATCTGTGTTCAAAACGCGGTTCTTTTCTAAAAAGCATTAAAACTAACACTCTTTTTTGAGAAAAAATCTGAAAAAACTGTCGCTTTGACGTTCTCCACGGGTAGAGATGAAGCAGAAAATGACATGTTTCGTTGCGATGAATAAATATCTTTTTTTTAACTGAGTGAATGAATATCTTTATATTATATATAGTATTTCTTGAATTAATAGGGGTGGGGGGGAATGGCGTCCACCATTCGTTTGAAAGAGATATGAGAACAATTTTCTTCATTTCTTGCCTTATGGAAACGTTGAAATGACGTTATGACCTAAATCATAATCATTGTTTGTTTGATTGTTTGCTCGTTCGTTTGTTTGTTTGTTTGTGGTTGTGTTTTGTGTGTATTTGTTTTCCGTTTTATTTATTTATTTATTTATTTATTTATTTATTTATTTGTTTGTTTGTTTGTTTGTTTGTTTGTTTGTTTGTCTGTTTATTTATTTATTTATTTATTTATTTATTTATTTATTTGTTTGTTTGTTTGTTTGTTTGTTTGTTTGTTTGTTTGTTTATTTATTTATTTATTTATTTATTTATTTATTTGTTTGTTTGTTTGTTTGTTTGTTTGTTTGCTTAAGTTAAAACAAGCTGGATGTTCACTTGCTTCGAGTGTGTTTGTTTGTGTGTTTTTTAAATTTTGCAGTATAGCGCTTCTTTGTTTGCATATTTGTTTGCATATTTGTTTGCTCTGTTGCCTTTTTCTTTTTTTTCTCGGCTTTCTTTCTGGGAATTTTTAGGCGTTGTAGACATAATTTCATCGGCTTGATTCACTGACTGATATTTTTCCCCAGATGTTTTTGACACAAAGAGGATTGAATTTATTTTACAGCAAGAAAAGAAAATTAATTTTTAGTATAGCTTAGGTATGGCGTACCGTTATGACTGAATATATAAGATCTTATTTAACAAAGTTCCGGATCGCTTCGATCGTTGTCTCTTACTTTTCACGCTTATAAACGACAGCACGGAAGTACACTGTCCGGCACACTAAAAACGTGGTCAAAAAATGAGAAAGCATTTTTATGACAGCGTTTTTCGCCTGGAGGCTCTTAAGCCAAAGTAGCTAGTGAGGGCATTTCAGTGCAGATCATGCGAAAGACTTCTAACAAAGAGAGAAGTAATACTCTCTTAGAAGTCGACCAGCCAATCAATACTTAGGTCAACTTGTCATTCTGTCTGTCTCATAGTGAATATTAAAACAACATTTCAAATTTATGCAAAAATAGCGAAAATTTCAAATCAAACGATGATAAAAACCAGATCCAAATAAAAATTGCAACATTTTTCCCGCGTGAAGAAAGAAAATTAAAATGTAAAAGCCGGCACTGATTTTGTAAAAGAAAATGCTTTTACTGTTTATTCGAAAAAAGAAATTCAAAGTAATAAATAATTCATTTATTTAAAAAAAAATACAAAAAAGGCTGTTCTGTTTATTACGCTATGCTAATGTGATAGTCAATGTTCTGTGATAAAAATCGCCGAAGATTAGTTCCAAGCAAGGCCATGTGTGGATCACCAATAGTCGTAGATGAGACAATTTCATTGTTTTCAAAATGACATATCGACATATTTGAATATCATGAATTAAATCTAGCTTCTTCAATTCATCATCTTCACATATGGTAAAGGAATATTGCGTTAAAGCAAGCTAGAGTTTCATTCGATAGTGAACGGCGCCGTCGTCAGTTCGATTCCACCAATTCACCACGAAAAGGATAACATTCTCAATACCACGAAAAAAACTTCTGATAAAACTCCTAGCTACAAGATCAAGGTATATATTTTCCTTTTTCTTTTTCATTTATATATCATATTTTTAGTTTTTTTCGAGTATTTATTTTTTGGCGTTGGGTACAGGTGTTAACTTTTAAAAGGGGGGAAAAACCTGTTTTCATGAGCAACCCCGAGAAATTTTCCTTGACTTGACTTGAGAGGATTTAAATTTGTTACATTCATTTTGATTTTTTATCAGCTTTAAGCATTATTCATATTTTCCCCGGTGTCGGTGATATTAAAGCCCCTTGTAAACCCTTCGATTTACTTTTTGTCATGTTTTAAATAATTTCGCTTGCCAACTGGGTTCCGGATTATTGCTCCTATTGGTCTTCTTCACATCGATTGCCTTTACAACTGGGGAAAAAATCCCTCGCAATAAGTTTTGGTTTAACTGCTAAAGATAAAGCTTATCCTTTGTTATTTCCTGTAGCCTTTTGAATCCGAAGCCAGAAATCCTAAGTAGCCTTATGCCTTGAAAAATAGAATTGATATTGCTATACTGTAACTATGATTACGGTTATCATGAGTTATTTTGCTAATTTAATCGAATGTATGTTGTCGTTGTCATCAGCGTATATGATGGCGTTAAAGATTGCTCCTTGAGAGGCATTCTGCTGCAATCTTCAAAGAACTCGACCGCAAGAAGATAATCTGGGATTTTCTTGTCTGAAATGATCGACAAATGCCGCTATCACGTTCGAGGTAACTTTATGTACGCTGTATAAAGCGAGGACTTTCATCGCCATTAAGGAAAAGCAAACAAATACGAGAATCTCGAAGACCACAAGAAACTCGCTAAAAAAATACATCAAAACTTCCTCTTTCTATCGTGTTTAGAAGAGCAAGGATACCGAAAAAAGAACTATGCCAGATAAAATAATCTACGTTTGTGGAGAATTTTCTACAAACAAAGTTGAGGATATTAACGCTAAACATATGATTTTGGGCAGTTTGGCTACCGTGTTTTCAGTCCGAACACATCCTTTTATACAGAGCATCGATGCTGGGCTAGACAGGACGGAACTTTTCAATACCATCACTCGTTGCCACGTTTTTGTTTTTATATACAGTAAAGAAACAGTAGACGATACCTATTATTTAAATCAGTATGGCATCGCCAAAGCTTACGGAATACCCGTAATTGGAGTAAGAGAGCCGAGTTACTTCATGCCAAATCCACTGCCAGAACAATTTTATTTTACAGAGATAGTCGACTACACAGGAGAAATACGAGACGGTAATAGCAATCGTGGTATTCCAGGACCTAAAAAACAGTTCCTGCTTGCTGATGCTTTAGTTCAAGACTTCAAGACTGCTATGGTGTATGCATCTGAGTTTCATAAGTCTTGTTTTCAAAGATTATTGCATAAAGTATCTCAGGCGTTCAACCGAACGGAAAACGAAAAGACATTTTACGCAAATTTGAAAGAACAACAGCCGCAAATTATGCCGTTTAAAGATGTGAGCAAGGCCGAAAAACCGAAAAATAAGATGATTCCGAAATGTCCTAAATGTGGTTTCTGTTTCAACAAACAGTTGATTATTGCACCGTCTTTACAAAGAGCCTCTAGTACAGGATCGCTTCTTCGAAAAGGAGATGCCTTTGAAGGTGAATCTGCCGCTCAAAAGCCTCAGCTCCAAAACAAAAAGCCTATTTTACAACCAACGACAATTTCGATTCCATGCCCGCCTTATTTAATTAAAAATCATGATTCAAAAGCTAGAACACAGCTTTCCAGTAGCGCGACAACAACGCGAAATCATGGACAAAAACCTATCGAGCCATTCAAAGGCAAACTTCAAGCAAGATCTTCAATGCTTCATAAAGTTATCCAAGAAACTGTGGATAAAAAACAGGAAAATACCATACCCGAGTTCGTTCCTAAAGGAGAAAGGAAAGAAACAGAAGGAGAAAATATGGACCCAAATGCCAAGGAAACGCGGACGTTACGAAAACAAAGTCGCATTTCGAATGCCAGCTGGGCTGATAAATTGAAATTGAAACTCCGCAGACAATCTAGCTTGCCAGTGATTCCGACGACCTATCTTGTTACTACCCCAGCGGGATCCGATAAACAATTATCGTTCGTCAAGTACCCCCCAGATAGCTTGTCGCCCCGCCAGAGTTTACTGCCCATATTTTCTGAAGACGAAGAACAAGAGACGATCCACATCTCTCGAGCACCAAGTCCAGATGGCGGATCGAGTTGGTAAGACTTACACAAAAAAAGTATATGTAATAACATATTTAGCTACACTATACAATATATATAATCTAATCACGAATACATATATGCGTGAGTCATATGAATCAAGCACTAAAATTCTATATTTCTATCAAAAAAAATTTTCTGGTAAAATATTTTTGAACAAATTAAATTCGGCGCCTTTGATTCCTTTTTTCTTGATTAGTTTATTCAAAAACTGAAGTATTTATTTTGATATTTCTATTTGTTTATTTATTTTAGTTCATGTTTTGATCCCTAGGAATCGATAGATCAATCTAAGAGTACAATTTTTCACGATCTGGAAAGTTCTATCGCACCGCTCACGCTGCTTGCTCAAGCTGTCAAATCTAGTACCGATCCGAAATCTAAAAATATTAAATATTTTTGGGGGCTAAAGGAAATCTTTAGATTTTACTGACAACTGAAAACTAAATTGCTCATTTTTTTCTTTTCCTTCCTCTAATTTTCTATTTCTTCCCATTTTACCATCTTTCTGTCTTTCTATGCTTTTTTCTTTCAAAATTTCAAAGTACAAGAATATTTGTATAATTTTCGGTGTAAAATTGCGTTGTTGTTCGGTTCGTCACATTTAGCTAGCTACTTAAAATGGACAGGTGAAAACCATTAGAAAAAAATCTAAAAATATCTCCTAGTAACAAAAACAATATTCAGTGATTATTTCTTTTTTTGTAGTGTTGTGGCTGATCATTCTAAAGGCGCTCAGTCATCATAGATGAATTCCACGAAAAGGTGTAGGATTCGTGAGTGTTTTTGAGATGAAGAGTCGATATGGAATACTAAGGGGGGGGAAACGATAACAAACGACAGGAAACGGTTTTAAAAGAAAGACTGAAAGATTGCATAAATGATATTTTTGCTTGTGGTAATATGTAACGTTAGATATTGAAGCAGTTTATTGAACACTAAATTTGTAAATTCAAGGAGGACTGATCGATCATGATGAGATAAAAACACTTTCTTGATTGGACAAATAATAATAATAAGGAAAAACGAAAGAAAAAATATTAAGCAAAGGGAACTGAAAGAAAGAAAGAAAGAAAGAAAGAAAGAAAGAAAGAAAGAAAGAAAGAAAGAAAGAAAGAAAGAAAGAAAGAAAGAAAGAAAGAAAGAAAGA